AGGTTAATAATAATAATAATAATTGATAAAAATTTTTATTGATTTACGATTATTATTAATAATTATTTTATTTAAAAAACATGATTCAAAAAATTTTGTTGTCGTTTGTTTAAAAAAAAAAAAAAAAAACAAACAGTGGGAAAAAATGATAATAATATCCAAGGAAAATTTAATAATAATAATAATAATAATAATAATAATAATAATAATAATAATAGGAAAAAAACCCTTTTTTAAAAAAATAGGGAAACGATACGTCACGTAAAAATTTAAATGTGTCCCAAAACATCAATTTTTTTTTTTTTTTTAAAGCAAAAGGAATATGAATGTGAGCGATTAAAAAATAATAAATCACTTTTTTTTGTTGTCGTTGTTGTTATTGTAAAACTAAATTTTATAAAAAATACAAAAAGGAAAAAAAAGGGGGGGAGGGATTACCCAAAAAGTTTCACAAGAAAAAATTTTCAAATGTTTTTTTTATGTAAAAAAAAAAAACTGAAGGACAACTATATAAAAACTTTTTGCTGTGCCTTTTTTTTTTCTTTCTCACTCTTTTAAGAAGCAGAAAACTTTTTTTTAAAGAAAAAAAAAAAACATATGTTTTAGTTTAAATTTTTATGTGTAAAAAAAAAAAAAACCGTTGAAAATAATTAATTTTTGCCCCCGAAAAAAAAAAAAACTCCAACAGAGATTTTGTTTACAAGGTTTTTAATTATAAATAAAAAAATTTAAACATTGAGGAATAGAAAGTGTAATAATTTTTTCCCGCCAAATTTTAATTTTCTTTTTTTTTTGTTTGTCTTTTAATTTTTATCAGGTCGTCATCCAATGGTAGTAAAACTAGAAGAAGAAGGACAGCATTTACAAGCGAACAATTATTAGAATTAGAAAGAGAATTTCATGCAAAAAAATATTTAAGTCTAACGGAAAGATCTCAAATAGCATCCACGTTAAAATTAAGCGAAGTTCAGGTGAATACAATTATTATTATCATCATCATCAATGACGT